CCAAAGACCGAGCCCTGGAAAGCAGTCAAGGCCCCTTCAACGTGGCCCAACTCGTTCTTGATATCAGAACATATAGACTGTCGGCTGTAAACGTTGATTTTCAGCCCTTTGTAATTACCGATCAGTTCCGGTCTCTTGTACGACCACGAATCCTAAACAAATCGCATTGTTATTGTTATTGTTATTCAAATCAAATTACTTATATATTATCAAATAAAAACAACTATTTGTCAACTATTAAAGCAGATGAAATTAAATAACTTGAATTAATTAACTGCTACAAATGGAAGTTACCTCTCCAGAAGAGATGGCCTCCGGACCCGTGCCTTCAGTCGCTAAATCGCTGCCTGCCATACCCGTTACGGCAGCCGTTGAGTCGCTGGCCGCAATAGCCGTAAGGGCACCCGCAGCGTGAAAAGCTTGATTCGTCAAATCTTCATTATCTCCAAAGAAGGCCATGACGTCGTTCACGTTCATCATTTTTGGTTCTTTTTTTCTTTAAATTTATAACAGTAACTATGCGAATTAATGTCTCAAGATGGAATCCCAAATGTTTCGCCCCTCTTTCTTTTTTGTTTTCTTCACTGGAGAGGTGCAATGCAACTTTTAAAGTAGCGTACATGAGACGTTTTGTTTTTTTTTTTTAAAAAAAAAATAATAAACTATACGACTACATATGCGAAAAACAACAGTCGAGTAATATTCGTGTAACAACCGCCACACTTTCGCAATTCTGATGCATTTTTAATAAACAAAATAAATATAATGGTTTATTTCCGTATCTCTTTCGCAGTTTAATACTTTGCGGTAGACCTGCGAATAAACGCATATCTGTCGTGAGACGGTCGCATAAAGAATCGCATTTATCAGACCATTTCTATCACAAAATATATTAATAATTGTTTAATAATAATTGTTTTATACTCTTATACAAAAAGAGTGGACCTGCGAATATCCTACGGTGGACATGCGAATGAACTATGCGACGTTTGTTTGTCGCAACTATGCGATCTCAGATGTATCCATGGTGACTCATTATTTCGATGCATCATTTCTTTGGATGGAAAAAAA